GAAATTATCGAGTCTGCGCTAGAACCGTTGCAGGTGCGGAAGTCGCGTGCACAAGTGTAGTGTCGATGAAGTCGAAAGACAGTTTTAGAGTGGCGAACTACTACCTACAACTAACATTAGTAACAAGACTTGTAAGTAGTTGTACTTAGTACTGAACTACGAGCTCAAGTGAGCCAGAGCATGGCACCATGTAGACCATGTAGACCTAGACCTACCAGTACCACGTCCTGCATGTGCAGCCTGCATGTGCAGCCTGCAGGACCCACATGGGCCACAACCACGTCACATGCCATGGCTCCACATGGCATGCCATGTTACCACCACCGGTGCACCACTGACTCGACTGTAACCTGCGTAGGTGTACATGGCCTACAGTAAGATCGGGCGCCGAAGAACACCTCGCCGAAGAACGCCCAGGCTGGAAAACCGGCAAAATTTAAGAACAGTCCAGGCTAGAATTATCAGATTTAAGAACACTAGATCTACATTGAACATGTACGAGGTGATTTGTAATAATTTTACATGAAAGTAAAAAAGGCTATCATTCCGTTGCCCTGGCGAGTTTTGAAGTGTGCATGGTCTCATTCTGTCACTATGCATGTCCTCTATCCACCTGTGGACTTCTTGATCGAACACCACAAACATGAGAGACACAGTGTGGGGTTGCTTTGCATGCATTTTTTCACCCAGAAAAAGTGTGTACAAAATTTTACAAGTCAGTAAAATAGGGTCTAACATCAACAAATATGACCTGAATGTGTCAATAAGCTTGCAATGGGAAATCAAGATACATCTGAAGCAAGTCACATGCAGAGAAAGCAGACTGCTTTTGCAGGTTGCCCTACGTATTGGTTTCTGTACGTCGTCAACTGCGGTTCCAAACGGTAGGGTATCTTTGACCGCCTGCCGGCATTGTAGAGCATGAGAACGCAGACCTTATCTTGCTGCTCCATTTCTTTCAACTTGCAGTGCATCCTCTTACGTGAAATAACCACACTAAGCAAAATACCATCCATGATGCGCGCCGGCCGTCCCACGACAGGGTGCCTTCGTGCATCTGGGCCACAGTGCATTTAACCGGCACATACTGACAATGTTGGGGCTTCCATACTCTCCAAGACAAGTGCAGTGACTCCTTCACCTGATTCATAATACCTCTGTGTTGGAAGAAGACTGCAGACCACCCTCAATGGGTGCTCCGCCGTCAACCCCCAACATACATCAATGCCGCATTTCCTGAATTTGCACTTTGCCATCGTGAATCTCTACCAGCACTTCTGAGGTAGCAAGCTGAGTGTTGGAACGTTCTCCATTTGTTAGTGTTTGTCTTCGTTTAACATGTATATTACTCAGTATGTCGTAATTGGACACTGCTCGATTATTCTTACCTCGTGCGTTTCACTATTTGTAACGTGGCTCCTCTGCTTCAGTTTTCGTTCTATCTCTCTGGCAGGGGCAACCACCACCCGTCTGGTGGGTGCCAGCATCCTCCGGCAGTTGCGCTGGGACTCTACGATACATTCTTGTTCTTCGATAATTAGAAATCTGCCTTTCTAGTTCTTCGCTGTTTGAATTATTATTTATTTGTGTTGTTTCTTGCGGCACTCGCTTTTGTGTAGATTTGACCTTTTTGCATGTCCGCGTGAGTACAGATGACATCATGCATTATTTTCTGTCACGTGTTTTGCTTTGAGCGTGTCGTTCAAGATGTTTGAACTGCGCCCGCTGGCCGATTTTCTTTGCTTGCTGTTTTCTTTGCCAGTCAAGCGTGGGGACGCTACGGTGTCGTCCTTCTTGGCTGTGTGTCCGGTACGGGGCCGGGTACGTGCGTCCCCAGCTCTCCGTTCTTTGTTCTTTTTGAGTTAGATTCTTCAATGGTGTTTTGAGAACATGTTTGGTAATACAGTCTTCTAAATAGTTCGATGCTTCCAATGGTTGTGTCTGATGCAAGTGTGGGTTTGCGAGGGAACCGGTGAACCACTGAGTTTCATACGCAGCTCTACTGAACAGCTAATTATTAACCTGTATGCCATAAGCATCAGCAGCTTCGGACTTGGATTTGAATCACCTTTCATGAAAGGTGAGTGAAAGACACCTTTTGTCAAAATTGCAGTTTCTGACCTTCACCTTTTTGGCTAATCTCTTCTTCAGCCCTGCTACTTTGACGGTGTGACAGACTCAATGCTGGCATCGGTGACCAGCCTAGGGTTTCCACCTGCCGTAGAATATGCTCGCTGGCTCTTGGACGTCCTTCAAGCATCCATTGAGGGATATTTTACCTCATTGACCACAAATTCACGAATTTCGATCCATGATTGACATCTCACAAGGCCGTGGAAGAAAACAATTCCGCTAAACGCTGCTGATGCTTACAAACTACATTACAATGGCAACTCACTTGTCTGTCGTATGTCTAGACGAGACGTCTACCATGGTCTACTGAGTACTGTCTTATTCAAGTAACTATTACTTTAAATTTAAAACTAAAGTAAGTTAGTTAGTTATTGCACAAGAGTCAAGAGTCATGAAGGGAGTCCGGCATGATGAAACCCTACCGTCTACACTGCACGTACTGACAACTCGACCTACTCGACTCTAGCACTGGCTACAACAGTACAAGTGCAGTATGAGTCACTCCTTTCCTTTCAACTACATGTACTACATGATTGTAGTAAGTAAGTAATTAGTTACTTTTCAAGGACTTTTGACGACTTTGTCTTTGTATTGACGAGTCTACGCGCGCTGCAGTACGCAGGGACAGTAACAGCTAGGCAGAGCTAGCTACGCTTCTTTGCCAGTGTTTTTTGGCATGGTCCGACAGATTCTGCTTCGCTCGCCTCGATATTTTGCCGCAAAATGTTGCTGCGCAATCTTCGATATTTTGCCGAGCCTGGCACAAGAAACTCGATATTTTGCTCCGGAAAAACGTATATTTTCGCCATTGCCGAGCCACCGTGCTCACAGCAGCAGAGACTTCTGTGTGGTTATTGTCGTGAAAGTGGACCACAAAGACGTATATTTTATCGAGTCATGATAAATCATTGAACAGTGCATACACGTAGTACAGGTAATAATAATAATAATACGAATAATAATAAATACGAAGTAGTGGTTGCGACTTCGGCGATGATTTGTAAGAAATGGTTTGCTCCCCACACCGGAGCTCTATAAAATAATATAATACAGTATACTAGTAATCAATCAGTAAAATGCAAAGATACCGTATCAAACTCAGCACGGGGTTCGAGGTACTAAAACGTCAACGATTACCAAACTAAGTCAAGGATTGACCGTTACATGCTGCATTCTGCCACTGCTAACGTGATCGAAGGGCAGCCATTGATTCTTGACGCTTTGTGCGGATGACCTCCCAGGGCTGTGACTGCGGCATTGACCAGTGCCAAAGACAGTTGAGTGCGGATGTATGCCATGACGATAGAGAAAGGCTCGGACCTCTTATCGGCCAACATGGATGCAATCCGAGCGTAGAGATTGCCGACTGCCTTGCCATGACCACCTGTGGTGCTGAGCACGACCGGGATGAATGATCCATGCTCTACCTCAACGACTCTTCTCTCATAACTGCTTCTCTTTTCCTTTTCGTGCTTGCAGTACACTGCCGGGATTGATGACTTCTGGTTTGAGGGGGCAAATGGGTTGAAAACCCGGACATCAAGGAATGTCCTCTCAAACCGTCCACCATTCAATCCACTGACTGCGACATCAAGGCGCGCGTTGTCGTCGGTGATGGTAGATCTCAAGGGGAAGTGTTCCCCCGAGAGAGGCTGGAGATGGGGTTCGACGGCTACATCATGGGCAACTTCCCGGAGAAGGTGGGCCGTGATGTCCCGAATCTCGTTGTGGCGGAGAGAGGGGTAGCCGCCCAGCGAGCAGGACAGGGCATGGGTGGTCGTGAACGACTTTCCACATGCACACGTTGTCGGGAGATGATCTGGCGTCCAGCCATATCGGAGGCATAAGGAGTCTCGAAACGCCCCCTTGTGCAACTTGAAGCCGAAAACTGCAAGTGGCTTGGGTGTTAGCCAGCTTGAGGCACCCTTCTCTGGCGCGAGGTTCACGGCATACTGGATGTCTGGGTCCAGTTGCTGAAGCAGTGCAGCCATCTGCTCATTGGCCAGTTGCGTTGACTCCTTTGGGACTTCTGATTTCAAGAGTTGCATAGCCACTCGAACTCCGCCGTTGTTGGACTCCTGTCTGAGGATCTTGTCGACAAGAGGTTGCGTGATGATGCTGGACTGACGGAATTGGTCCTCAAGATGAGTGGGGTTGATGAGACCCAATCCACCAAGTCTGCAGGGCAATGACAGTACGGCCCTGGTTTGGTCACCAGGCGGACACCGGCCGGTAAGCGCGGGGATGAGCTGAAGACGTACGGCGTCCTCAATGGGCTCGAACAGCGGACCTGTCGCCGGGATGGTGCGAGCGACAAATGACCATTCGTGCTTAACACCATTGCAGAAATCCGTGTATGCCGCTTGTGGGTGGCTGAGGGCGTACTGGGAGAGCACACTGATCTCGTGACCACTGGTGACTCCACGTATATTTTATCCACTTCCCGTAAAATCCCGTACAACCTTTCATAAAAATCGCAGGGTCGGTCTCTCAACACGGGGTCTTTGTGGTCCACTTCACAACAATAACACACACAGAAGTCTCTGCTGTGAGCACGGTGGCTCGACAATGGCACAAACTGCACCAACGAAAAGTCACTGCGAAGTAACAGGAATGCGGTCCAGCACAACATTTTTGCTGACGCAAAAAGTTGTGGGGAAATCCCAAAATCGGTGCGATTTTTGCATGAGCCCAAATGTTCAAGGTACCCACAAAGACACAAGCTTTCCAACTCTCTTTGGCCGTTGGAAAGCGTACCTTTCCACGCACGTGTTTTGTTTGAAGTTTTATTTTACATCGCAAACCAAACGGGCATGTAGGTAGTCAGCCAAGTTTGACACAGCAACTGATAAGACTTGATTTAGGGT